GTGTGCCCTTGACACGGACGTCCTTGAGGACAGGCAGGAGGAGTTCCAGTGCTTGGCAGCTGCTTCACCTCATCTCGTGTCCGTACTGCTTACCCTTGAGGGAGACCCGGATGCACTTGACATCCCGACTCCGCGCTCTTACGCGGAGGCGATAGAGGGTCCCTCTCAGTGGCAGGCAGCTATGGACGCAGAGATGGCTTCCTGGAAGTCCACAGGCACCTACGCTGACGAGGTTCCCCCGCCTGGGGCGAACATCGTCAGTGGCATGTGGATTTTCAAGGTGAAGCGGCCGCCGGGTCTTCAAGGCGGGTTACGTGGCTCGTGGCTTTAGTCAGCGGCAAGGAGTTGACTACTTTCAGACCTTCTCTCCCACCCCGAAGATGACCACTCTTCGGGTACTGCTCCACGTTGCTGCTCACCGTGACTACGAGCTGCACTCTCTTGACTTCAGCACAGCTTTCTTGCAGGGCAGCCTGTACGAGGAGATCTGGCTGCGCCGCCCACCTGGCTTCACTGGGTCTTTCCCTCCTGGTACCCAGTGGAGTCTCCAGCGTCCAGTCTACGGTCTCCGCCAGGCGCCACGTGAGTGGCACGACACACTGAGGACTACGCTTGCGGCTCTTGGGTTTGCTCCTTCTACTGCCGACCCGTCGCTGTTTCTACGCACCGACACCTCTCTGCCGCCGTTCTACATCCTCGTGTACGTCGACGACTTGGTCTTTGCCACAGCTGACACTGCTGGACTCGCCTACGTGAAGTCCGAGCTGCAGAAGAGACACACGTGCACAGACCTGGGTGAACTGCGCAGCTACCTTGGCTTGCAGATCACCCGGGACAGAGCACAGCGCACCATTACTCTTACTCAGTCACAAATGGTGCAGCACGTCCTTCAGCGCTTGGGCTTCACATACTCCTCCCCTCAGGCCACTCCTCTGCCTACTCGCTACTCGCTCTCAGCTCTGCCTTCGGATGAGTCCGTAGAGTCGAGTGGCCCGTATCCAGAGCTTGTTGGCTGCCTCATGTACCTGATGACCTGCACATGACCTGACCTTGCATACCCTCTTAGCACTGTCGCACGCTATGTTGCTCCTAGTAGACACCGTCCAGAGCACATGGCTGCAGCGAAGAGGGTGTTGCGCTACTTGTGCAGTACGTTGGGCATGGGGCTAGTGCTTGGAGGGCGGAGTCCAGTGGTCCTCACTGGGCACGCGGACGCTTCTTGGGCTGACGACCAGGCTACGCAGCGGTCGTCACAGGGTTACACCTTCAGCCTTGGTTCCGGCTCCGTTTTGTGGCGGGCTACTCGCTCGTCTTCTGTTCTCGGCTCCAGTTGTGAGGCCGAGATCTACGCTGGGGCCATGGCTGCACAGGAGCTTCGCTGGCTCACCTACCTGCTGACTGACCTTGGAGAGCCGCCTCGTTCTCCTCTAGTCCTGTACATAGACAACAAGGCCATGCTCGCCTTGTGTCGAGAGCAGAGACTGGAGCACAGAACAAAGCACATTGCTCTTCGCTACTTCCTTGCTCGTGAGCTACAGCAGTGTGGTCAGTTGCGGCTTGCGTACGTGGCCTCTAAGGCCAACACTGCTGATGTCTTCACCAAGGCACTTGCGCCTTGTGATCATCAGCGCTTCTGCATGCAGCAGGGTCTTGTGCCATTCTTGCCTCACTTGCTCACCTCTTGACCTTGCTTGTACTGTTGCATATATATACACTTGCTCTTGCTTGTCTAGTCCTTTACATATATGTACTCCTGCATGTGAACTGGCCTTGTGGCCTTGAACTTGTGCTCGGAATGTGTGGTGACTTTGTGATCCACCCTGAGCTTGCTTTGCTTTGCTTGACAGGTCTTGTGACCCCTTGTTCTCCCCCACTTTGCCTATGGGGGTGTGTGAGATTTATATGACATAGCTACTGTAGGCTATAGTGGGGTAGCACATATGGGGTACAGCTTTCTAGGGTTTGTACTTGTACCCAACTTTCCCTTAGTCATTTCATTAAGCCACCGGCCTGAACGCTGCAACGTCGCCGCGTCTGATCAGCGATGTTGATAACGCATAACCGCTCGTACGTTGGACCAGTGCTTCATGCCACACCCTCCATGCACCTTGTCGAGGGCCCATGCAAGAATTGAGCCCAACCCAACACCATTCCACAACGGTTTCACCATGTCCCGCAAGCCATGGGCCTGAACGCTGCAACGTTGCCACGTCGGAACAGCGATGTCCAGAACGCATCTACGCTTGTGCATTGGGCATGTGCTTCATACCACTCCTTCTGGGCGCCTTGTTGAATGTCTGTGCAAGAATGGATGACAATCCAATGCCAAACCACAACGGATTCACCATGTCGCGCAACACACAGGCCGGAACGCGGCATCGTCGCACTGTCTAAACACTGCTGTCGGGAATGCATCTACGCTTGTGCGTTGGGCCTGTGCTTCATACCACTCCTTCTAGGCGCCTTGTTTAATGTCTGTGCAAGAATGGATGACAATCCAACGCCAAACCACAACGGATTCAACATGTCGCGCAACACACAGGCCGGAACGCGGCATCATCGCACTGTCTAAACAGTGCTGTCGGGAACGCATCTACGCTTGTGCGTTGGGCCTTTTTGAATGTCCGTGCAAGAATGGATGACAATATAATGCCAACCCACAACGGATTCACCATGTCGCGCAACACACAGGCCGGAACGCGGCATTGTCGCACTGTCTAAACACTGCTGACGGGAACGCATCTACGCTTGTGCGTTGGGCCTGTGCTTCATACCACTCTCTCTAAGCACCTTGTTGAATGACCGTTCAAGAATGGATGACAATCCAGCGCCAAACCACAATGGATTCACCATGTCGCGCAACACACAGGCCAGAACGCGGCATCGTCGCACTGTCTAAACACTCCTGTCGGGAATGCATCTACGCTTGTGCGTTGGGCCTGTGCTTCATACCACTCTCTCTAAGCACCTTGTTGAATATCCGTGCAAGAAAGGATGACAATCCAACGCCAAACCACAACGGATTCACCATGTTGCGCAACACACAGGCCGGAACGCGGCATTGTCGCACTGTCTAAACACTGCTGACGGGAACGCATCTACGCTTGTGCGTTGAGCCTGTGCTTCATACCACTCTCTCTAAGCACCTTGTTGAATGACCGTGCAAGAATGGATGACAATCCAGCGCCAAACCACAATGGATTCACCATGTCGCGCAACACACAGGCCGGAACGCGGCATCGTCGCACTGTCTAAACACTGCTGACGGGAACGCATCTACGCTTGTGCGTTGGGCCTGTGCTTCATACCACTCTCTCTAAGCACCTTGTTGAATGTCCGTGCAAGAAAGGATGACAATCCAACGCCAAACCACAACGGATTCACCATGTTGCGCAACACACAGGCCGGAACGCGGCATCGTCGCACTGTCTAAACACTGCTGACGGGAACGCATCTACGCTTGTGCGTTGGGCCTGTGCTTCATACCACTCTCTCTGAGCACCTTGTTGAATGTCCGTGCAAGAATGGATGACAATCCAATGCCAAACCACAACGGATTCACCATGTTGCGCAACGCACAGGCCGGAACGCGGCATCGTCGCACTGTTTAAACACTGCTGACGGGAATGCATCTACGCTTGTGCGTTGGGCCTGTGCTTCATACCACTCTCTCTAAGCACCTTGTTGAATGTCCGTGCAAGAATGGATGACAATCCAACGCCAAACCACAATGGATTCACCATGTCGCGCAACACACAGGCCGGAACGCGGCATCGTCGCACTGTCTAAACACTGCTGACGGGAATGCATCTACGCTTGTGCGTTGGGCCTATGCTTCATACCACGCTCTCTAAGCACCTTGTTGAATGTCCGTGCAAGAATGGATGGCAATCCAACGCCAAACCACAACGGATTCACCATGTCGCGCAACACACAGGCCGGAACGTGGCATCGTCGCACTGTCTAAACATTGTTGTCGAGAACACATCTACACTTGTGCGGTAGGCTTATGCTTCAAACCACTCTCTCTATGCACCTTGTTGAATGTCCGTGCAAGAATGGATGACAATCCAACACCATACAACTACTTTTTCTCGTCTGTTACTATTCGTCAACACATTCGTTTGTTACGCTTTGTGTGTGTGACATGAGACAAACCCACTACTGGCGGCAACCCCATACTAAACCAAGAGCATCAAAGTTTTGGATGTTTTTTATTGTTGTATTTTTTGAAATTTATTCCGTGTACATGTTCAACACTGTGCGTTCACGAGATCATTGTACTTTGCAGGGATAAGGTTACATTCGCACTTGAGGTTCTAAAACTGTCATACTATGCGTAGAGATTGATGCGTTGGCAACTATGGTTGGCCAATGCATCTCAAACGAGTCCCCACACAACACAAGCACCAGCCAAGAGGTACTTCCGCCATTGAGCGGATGAGATCGAGCGGTAGGCGGGTTTATGCACGGGTGGCTACACGTACACCGTCCGATATAGCCTGATAGGGTTACGGTAATCTTTTTAGTCTCGCAACCCACCTCAACCACCCTCGTGCCCCACCCACCTGCTCCCGTCACCCTCTATGCCAATACTTAGATGCTACTCGCTGTTTGACAAGCGTGTTTCCAGATCGCCCGTGACTCACCAGTATACTAAGTCATGGGCCGTAGCTCTGTGATGAGTGGCTACTATTTCAGGTTAAGTGATAGCAGAGTTTTTCGGAGAAACATAACAGTGATAGGCCGTCGTTAAACACTTCGTGATATTCAGTTGCTGCGGCCCTTCAAAACAGGCTAACCCGTTTCGCGCGATAGACCTTGGCATTCCTACGGCAACCATGACACGTGCCACACGTCAACAAGCAATGGAGGAGGAACAGGCCGGACACCGAGCGACAAGGACGATGTCTAAACGGACCAATAGGGAGGGTGGCGGCGGCGCTAAGAAAACTAATGCGTCCATTGCGCGTGGCACTGGGCTGAAAATAGTGGCGGCAATGAAGGTCGCGCGGGATCAAGAGAAGTCCGGCAGGAAGGCGGCAGACAACGGGAAGCAACCAATGCCACGCAAGCGTGTTTCTACAGTGAACAAAGATGCGGATGTTGCCTCAACTGGAACCACGCCCGGTCCGACTAGCGACGGCACCAGTGGCGGCAACGAACATCCGGGGCGAGGGAGCGCGAGTCTTGCAGTCCCGTCGGCGGAGAGAGAGGGATCGGCGATAGGGGGAAACCACGGAGGCGATCCACGCGCCGAGCATACCGCAACCAAGGAGTCCGAGGCGGAGGCATCTCAACACCATCTGACGCTGCTCTAGCCGACCGTGGCCGAAATTTCTGCTGCCGTGCTGGATAAGGACAAGGTGGGGGAGCACGAGTCGATGGAGGATCCTAACCACGGCATAGCCGACGTCGGTGGCTCTCCTCCTTCTGGTGGACGGGGGAGACGTAGGCAGAGGAAGAGCGATGAGGAGGACGATTCTGACACCGCCGTGCCCGGGGACATCACCACGCGGGCGAAGTGGCAGCAGACGACAGGCACTGCCGACGACGCCGGTGGCGCGGAAGTTGGGAGAACGCGAGGCGCCAGTGAAGCTAGTGGCAAAGCGATGGGTCATGCATTGCGCCAAAAGGGCCGACCCGCAGCAAGAAAAACATTCGGCGGAAGGAGGGGCAAGAAACGGGGTCGTGAAGACCCTGGTGAGGCCGAGGAGGAGGATGCGCAGGAAGAGGAGGATGAAGAGGATGCAGAGGAGGATGACGCGGATGTTGGGGAGGATGAAAAAGATGAGAATGATGGCGGGGAGGACGAAGAGGAGGAGGAGGAGGAGGAGGAGGAGGAGGACGATGAGGAGGAGGATGAGGAGGAGGAGGAGGAGGAGGATGAGGAGGAGGAGGAGGAGGAGGAGGATGATGAGGAGGAGGAGGAGGAGGAGGAGGAGGAGGAGGAGGAGGAGGAAGAGCAGGGGGACGACGAGGAGGAGGATGAACAGGAGGAGGAGGAGGAGGCAGAGGAGGAGGAGTAGGAGGAATTTGGGGAGGAGGAGGAGGACGTGGCGGCAGTGAAGGGACAGGGCGGGCGTGGCAGACGGCAGAGTGGTACAAGGAAGGTGGGGGGCCGAACTCGCCATTCCCGAAAATGCGGGGCAGTTGACGCCGCGCGTGGCGCAGTAGCTGGCAGACCGAAGGCGCGTAAGGTGAAGGTCAAAAGTGAAGGGGGTGGTAAAAAGCAAGGGCGCCAGGGAGCAAAAGGGGATGGAGGAGGTAAGGGTGGCGGCGTCAAAGGGGTTCCATTGGGTACTGGCAAGAAAGAACCTGCCGTTAAACGTCGCAGCGGCCGTCAAAGCACCCCGTGGAAAGGTGGCAACGAGAAGGCGCTGGCCCTAAAAAAACCGAAGGGACAGCAGAAAGGTGAGCACCCTGGCCAATAGACCGGGCGTGGTTGTTGCACTCTTTGCGCAACCGTGCCAAATAACACCATTCTACACATTGTTTCTCCCCTGCAGGGAAGGAGAAGTACGACGAATCTGCAAAGAAAGGTAAAGTCTCCTCTCTCAAAACAGTACACGGCTAAGCCCGATTTAGATTCAAACCATTGATTTCATGCATGACTGTCTGGCCCTGTATTGATACCGATCGACTTTAATTTCTTGATCCTACTCCCTCTAAATCTCAGCCCCTCGCGTTACAGGCATTGGGCCACCGGTAAGCGTGCAACGGATGCAGCTAATGAAGGGGGCCAAAAGAGCGAGTGTGACGCCGCTATCCACAGGAGCCCCAAGGTTCTTCACGCCGTACTCCGGCCCAAGCAAAGTCGCTGCGACGGCTCCCGGCGCGCCAAGAGGAGAGGAATCCGAATCACCTCCACCAGGCCCCGTCACGCACTCCCCACTCGCTTCACCCTCATACCCATTTCGGCCGCTACACGCTTCTCCTGTCCGGGGCAGGGCGGTCCCCCCCCTCGCTGGTCCTTCGCGCGGGCATCAGCCAAGCACTTCTGCCAATCCCTTCCCTGAGCTCCCCCTTTCCCGCCAGCGTGATAGTGTGAGGGCACATGGGACTGCTGAAGAAGATGCTGAAACCCTTGGCCAGAGGGGGGATTCTTCACACCCTTTTCCACCGCTCATGGGTGCCCTAGGTGAAAGTGGGGAGCACGAGCAGTTTGTTACACGGGAGGAGTTCCAGGCGCTGCGGTCTGAGATGTACGCCATGTTTGCACAGCTCGGCCTGCGTCGTGGAGTACCTGCCAGTTATGCCGGGGGTTTCGCAGCCGCGCCTATGGCTGGTACCCCACCGCCGATGAGTGCCGTGGACAAGGCACGAGTGCTAGTGTTGCAGGAGACAAACCCATTCCCGGTATGTGGCGGGCCAAATGGGGCGGGTTGGGGCTGACGTGGGGGCTTGGAAGGGTACACGGGCGCGGCGCGTGACGAGGTGACTCGTGTCAGGTGGGTGGGGGGTGACGTGGCATGGGGTGGGTGGGTATGACGTGGCACGTGGGGCTGGTTGTTCCCTGACGTGGCGGATGGAGGAGGGTGTGACGTGGCGGGATGTGAGGCTTGGGGCTGAGGTGGCGGCTTGGACGGGTACACGCGAGCGGCGCGTGACGAGGTGACGCGTGTCAGGTGGGTGGGGGGTGACGTGGCATGGGGTGGGTGGGTGTGAAGTGGCACGTGGGGCTGGTTGTTCCCTGACGTGGCGGATGGAGGAGGGTGTGACGTGGCGGGATGTGAGGCTTGGGGCTGACATGGCGGCTTGGACGGGTACACGCGAGCAGCGCGTGACGAGGTGACGCGTGTCAGGTGGGTGGGGGGTGACGTGGCATGGGGTGGGTGGGTGTGACGTGGCACGTGGGGCTGGTTGTTCCCTAACGTGGCTGATGGAGGAGGGTGTGACGTGGCGGGATGTGAGGCTTGGGGCTGACGTGGCGGCTTGGACGGGTACACGGGAGCGGCGCGTGACGAGGTGACGCGTGTTAGGTGGGTGGGGTGACGTGGCATGGGGTGGGTGGGTGGGTGGGTGTGATGTGGCACGTGGGGATGGTTGTTCCCTGACGTGGCAGATGGAGGAGGGTGTGACGTGGCGGGATGTGAGGCTTGGAGCGGACGTGGCGGCTTGGACGGGTACACGCGAGCGGCGCGTGACGTGGTGACGCGTGTCAGGTGGGTGGGGGGTGACGTGGCATGGGGTGGGTGGGTGTGACGTGGCACGTGGGGCTGGTTGTTCCCTGACGTGGCGGATGGAGGAGGGTGTGACGTGGTGGGATGTGAGGCTTGGGGCTGACGTGGCGGCTTGGACGGGTACACGCGAGCGGCGCGTGACGAGGTGACGCGTGTCAGGTGGGTGGGGGGTGATGTGGCATGGGGTGGGTGGGTGTGACGTGGCACGTGGGGCTGGTTGTTCCCTGACGTGGCGGATGGAGGAGGGTGTGACGTGGCGGGATGTGAGGCTTGGGGCTGACGTGGCGGCTTGGACGGGTACACGCAAGCGGCGCGTGACAAGGTGACGCGTGTCAGGTGGGTGGGGGGTGACGTGGCATGGGGTGGGTGGGTGTGACGTGGCACGTGGGGCTGGTTGTTCCCTGACGTGGCGGATGGAGGAGGGTGTGACGTGGCGGGATGTGAGGCTTGGAGCTGACGTGGCGGCTTGGAAGGTTACACGGGAGCGGCGCGTGACGAGGTGACGCGTATCAGGTGGGTAGGGGGTGACGTGGCATGGGGTGGGTGGATGTGACGTGGCAAGTGGGGCTGGTTGCTGGTGGATGTGGCGGATGGAGGAGGGTGTGACGTGGAAAGTTCACACAGTCCATCCTGTGGTCACGCGGCCACAGTCATAACTGATGGTTCTCTCTCCCCATGTTGTGGTGTAAACCCCACACCCCTGCGCAGAACAAGACCTACTTAGTGTGCTGTCAGCTCCTGTTTCTGAACCCCCCGGAAAAAATCCAGTACTACCCTGCACCGGAGGAAGTATTCGAGGCGTTCGCTGTCCACTTGTCTGCCGAAGGGCTCGAGTCAATGAAGCTGCTGTGGTTGCACAACGACAAGTCAACCATGGGTGTCTTCAACCACCAGATGTCGTCAACCAGGTCAACAATCAACAGCACCCTCAGGCCAGCAACGTACGCCGGCATGGGCCTCTCTGATTACGCCCATCTCGTGGATACCCTGCCCACTGAGCTACACCCAAAGAAGTGGTTCAACCACGAGGATCTCCTGGCCGAGTACAGAGATGGTATGTGCAACTCGAACACACCATATCCCCCTGCCCATATGCCAGGTGGCAGCTACAAATAACCGTGCGGTGTTCCTCACCCTGACTCTCACCCAGCCACTTGATTTCCATGCACCCCCTTTCCAACCCGTACGCTCCCTCCCAAAATGCAGAACAGTGGGCCCTCAACTGGCACTTTGACAAGGCCACCGGAACGCCCTTCAGCAACCCCTTGTTTGCTTATGCGTTCAAGCTCTCCTTCAAGAGGGGCGGGGTCGTGTTCAACAAGTTCAAGAGCCGCATGGTGGCATGGGGCCTGTTTTCGGTAAGGATGTAGATATGTGTCTGTACACCCATGCCTCATGTCTCGGGAGATATGGGTTGCCTGTACTTCATCTAAATCCCTGGTCGCTTAGGCGTTTGCGGTTACGTAGGGTGTGTCGTCTTCACTGCTTTCAGTTGGCCCATGTACCCGTAACCCCCCCCCCCCCCCTTACTCCATCCACCCAACCCTACACCACATTGCAGATCGAGTGGCCCCTTCTGCAGGATAAGCGTCGCAAGCGAATTCCGGCCCAGCCGGAACAAAACAGGCCGGACTACTTCGAGTGGTGTGACAAGGTCAAACAGATGATACACTTTGCTGTCGTGGAGCAGCGGATCCCACACGATCCGGCTCAGGGTGCGTTCGTCTTCCCGAACAAGTTCCTCATCGACGATGGCGACCTTGGAGATGTCATTCTTGCCCACCGGGCAATTGCAGGGCCCAGCATTGCATAGGCTATTTGACCTGGTGCTAAAACTACTGGCTGTTAGAATGCTGAATAATAGTTGTTGTTTACCAAAATATTGAATGAAATTCTGAAATCCTCAATACCCAAAATAAAACAAAACCAAAGTCCAGTTTATGATATTTTGGTACCAAAATTGCACCAAAACGAATTGCGCCGGAATGTCATCCGGAAAAGCTCGCGTGCCAATTTGAAACTTGACTCGAGCCAAACCTTGTCGCGAGATGTGTGTCGGAGCTCCGATCGATTGATTCCAACCGTCGGTTGAAATTGAGTCCAGACTTTGTTACGCGAAGACAACCCCAATCAAAATTCGTCCAAATTTGGCATAGGGTTTTTGTGATGTCGTCCGTCTGAGCGATGCCTTGCGTACGGAGTTTGGCGACGCGGCTCATCTCCCCGACCGGGTGGAGCTGCTTAGGCTGAGGGTAGATATCTATACTCTTGACTATGATGCTATCCTCACTACCATGTATACATTGCCTACTAGTGATGAGGGTGACTGTTACCTGTGTGTTCCGCCTGACCCGGGCATTGAGACTGCTGCTCTAGGTGCTGGTGAGGCTGCTGCTCTAGGTGCTAGTGCGTCTGCTGCTCCAGGTGCTGGTGAGTCTGCTGCCCCAGGTACTGGTGCGTCTGCTCTCTAAGGTACCACGTCGGCTCAGGCCTTACACACCTTCACCCTTGACTCGGGTGCTTCCCGCTCCTTCTTTCGAGACCGCACCACGCTTACGCCGTTTAGTCGGCCAGTTGCGGTCCCCCTGGCGGACCCCTCTGGGAGTCCTGTCCTTGCCCACTTCTCCACTGTCTTACCGTGTCCGGCGGCCCCCTCTAGCACCCTGTCTGGTCTCTACCTCCCCTCGTTCTCTACGAAATTGGTGAGTGGTGCTGATCTACAGGATGGGGGAGTTGACCAGTTCACTCCTGCGAGTCAGCAGGTGACCCACTGTACGTGTGCTCGGACGGGCCGACACTTGGCCACGTTTACCCGTCAGCCGGGGACGAGCCTGTACACGCTGACT